AGGAAGGTTGATAGATGTTGATTAAATCCTTGATATTATCCACGTTTTGACGGAAACCCTGGCAGTTCCACGAAATAAATGTACCCATTATGGATGCTTATTTTGCGGTGTTGTTTTTTTGACTTTCAAGATAAAAGGTGTTTCGGAAGGGATAACCCTTGTTCTACGTCCATTTCGTCTGAGTCGTCTAGGCGTCCTGAACTCATGCTTGCAATAGAACTTTAAATGAGCGGTCCTGGGTTTTTCCTTATTTTTCTCCTTGATAACATCTCTATGTTTGTTCTGTTGGACATCCTGTTTTCCTTTGGACGCAATCACCGGCGCACTATTTTCAACATCAGGGTTTTCTTTTCCTCATTTTTGGTTTCTAGGATCTTCTGTCATTGCTAGTTCTTTTTTCTGTACCGTTTTATTATCACGATAAACAAAAATCACCTTCATAATCGCCTTCGCCTAATAATACACACATACACACGCATAATAATGCATACACATAACACACACATAATATATACACTAACACACACGTAATAATTATAGAAAATCACCTTCACCTAATAACATCGCAGACATACGTTTTTTAACTATAAGAAGTTTTAGTGAATTTCTGAATGATTATTTGCGAGAAGTAAGTAAATAATGTTTTTACTTCTATATTTCATATTTCTTTTAACTAGTATTTTTTCCTGAAAACTGAAAAAAGAAAGAAAAACACTTAAGAATTCAAAATTTGTAAATTAATAAAAATCATTGCGACAAATATTAGCTAATGGAATTATAAGGTATTTTCTCCCTACATTTCGCAAGTAGGTGTAACTAGAAGCACGCTCGATACGTACTCGGTAGGTCCGGAGTTAGAACCCATCATTTATCGCAACCGTTTGATTAAATCCTTTCATCCATTTGTCATCTAGTTTGCAGTTTGATTTTACATTCCTAAATTTCGAATCACTGAAGCTTACAACAAACTGTAAAACTTTATAATAGGTTTCATGTTCCGCTGGTCGAAATTTTAACCAGCTCTGATGGTGCACCTCATCGTTAATTTCGACTTAATTTCCAGAAATAGAATAGATTATTCTCTATCCTATGAACTCCCCTTTGACGAAATGAATAGCAAATTTCCCAATCATCGAAACCTAATGGGAATTTACTGTTAGAATAGTTTATGTTTCAAATCGCCTTTGAGTTTATTTTAGTCTCCATTTGCCATTTTCCAGATGAATCATTCGAGACAATAATTAGTTAAGTGTCAGGAAGGGTTATTAAATGAATTAAATGTAGCTGTGGAAACACTATTCTTAACGGTAAAAAATATTGTGATCGGTTTATTGCTGTTTTAGATTATGTTAGTTTTTGTTTAATAAATAAATTTTCAATCAACGCCTATAGCCGTAGCTATTTTAACAACCATAAATGTAGTACATTTTGGTTTAATAAAGTTATTGCAATGTTATTAAGTTACAACTTCAGAGTTATCTCTCAAAAGCGACTCATTTTTCACTTAAAATATTTTTATGCAAATTTTTTAAATGCAAAATAATAGATTATTTAAAAATATTTAATTTAAAATGTGCTTTCTTAGAACAGAATGTTATCAGAATTAATTAAAATTAAATTTACAAGCACAAATTATTAAAATGTAATGAAAATCTATCTCAGTGTAAATGGGATATAACCATCAGATAATATAATTTTTTCTAACTCCAGTGAAATTTTCTTAAGAGGACTGTCTAGGGTTCCACAAATTATTATCATTATTAATTATTTTCTCAGAAGTACTACTTACTTTCAGAGATGATGAGCATGAGAGATTTTAGCACGTATTATTTCATTTTCAGTTTAAATACAACAGAAACGTGTTATGGACAAAGCAGTGCCACTACCTAGCACTGCTAGGTAGTGGCATTATATCCTACTTATCTTAAAATTATTGCATTATATCCTACTTTACGTACCTATTATCTTATATCCAAACGCTATTTTACGTTTCCATTACTCTGGGTTGCTTAAAAACGACTCTGCCATTTAAATGCTAAGTACCTCATTTTATCTTTATAAACAGTGTTCGTTCACAAGAACATTACGCGTGCGATATTAACTCACACCGATTTGGGTCTGCATACGTTTCAGACGTTTCAACGTATTGTACTCATAATTGTCTCTATATGTTCCAGGCGCCAGTTACTGCGAATTCAGTTACGTAATCATCTAATTCCAAGAGCAATGCAAGATTTCTTAAGGTTTCTATGTTCTATCATTTTTTAATAAATTTAAAAAGTAGTATAACCTTATAATTTTTTTATTTTAATTCTTTCACTTACTTTATCTCTTCAGACTAAATCTTGCCTCTTTAACTATTGCCAGCTTTTCTTATTTTCTACCCTGTTTTTACGTGATGTTCATTTTTAAACACGAAATTTTACTTTTTTTTTTTTTTTTACATAAGACATAATTTCAGTAAAAGCCTACTGGCCTATGTCTCTTTAATATAGCTATACCGGATATCTCTGACCTTTAAACTTTTAATTTATTTGTGTTGCTTCTTAAAATTTCGGTACAGAAACCTTCGGTAGTTGAAAATATTGCACAAATAAATGCGTATGACACTTAAAAGAGAGTTTGAGGTTATTTAGAGGAACTTACTTGCTTCCATTTCTTTAAATTGGCAAATATTAACAGGAATAAAATTTGAAAGTTATAATAAATGATGTTCAAACTTATTAAAGTTAGAAAAAAAATTACCATCTAAAGTCGCAGACAAAAATTTTAGAATTCTACACTCAGATCTCAATACAAGCAAATTGCTAGCGACATATTGATTGGTGTCAGAAAAGATCTTATCTCTGATTTTTGAATTATTAAATCTATGGGCGAGAGTACTAAGAAAAATGAAATTATGAAAATTCAACTATGGAAGTATACGACCCTTTTCAAGATATTTGTTCTCTATATCCCTCAACAGCAAGCCAGACTTGTCCAGTCCTAAGGTATCTTCAAAGGCAATTATTATTGGTGACATGAACGCTCGCTCAAGAAGGTGGGGTTATAAGCAACAAAATGCTGCTGGATTAGAATTTGAAGATCTCCTAAATTCCAATTCTTTTGAGCTTATTTTTAAACCCGATGACTCACCTACTTACATCCATTATAACTGTTTGGGTAGTTCACCAAACTTCCCCTGAACAGAACATTCTGGAGGATCCAGGTTCAGAACACAGGCAAGTCACGGCCTCTATTAATGCTGACCACCCAGCAGGCATAGTTTAAAGAAACCCCGGAATTTTAAAAAGGCACACTGGGTCAATTTTGTAGAAATGACTGACAGAGAGCTCAAAGAAGTGAATTTTGATCATTCACCTCCTCCGAAAACGTTTCTTAATAACTTAACAAAAGCAATTTTGTTTTGTGCTAAGGCATGCATACCACGGGGCAGTGTCAAAGGCTATAAGTGCATCTGGTCCCCTAAATTGGAGGAATATAAAGAGAAGCGCGGGACCGACCCAGAAGGGAAAAGCTAAACTCACTAAAAGGCAGTCAGATGTTGTTGCAAGGCGAAAGCAAACTACTAGCTTTGTAAACAAAGCTGTAATGCAAGCCAAACGTCAATCCTTTGAAGATTTTATTTCACACACTGATTATAAAAAGGACAGCTTAATTTTTTTTAATTATTTCTAACATCCAAAATTATAAACCCTCGTGTAGGAAGAATTCGATTTCAGTTGGAAATAAATTGCTATCTTCGGATAAAGCTATTGCAACCGCTTTTGAACAGTCCTATTCCCAGTTCCACCAAAGGGAAAATATGCAAGGGAAATGTCAAGTTAATCTTGAATGGAAAAGGTTAATCAAAATGCAGAATGCTACGGAAGAACTTAAGTGGGAGACTATTTTTAAGCTTGGTTTAGTGCACAGTAACTGGAACTCGCACTTCGACATCTTAAAATGAAGAACTCTCCTGGTGTGGATTATATCCATACAAAGTTTCCTATTCATTTCGGCAATGAGGCAAGAAAAACAGTATTGAAAATCTTTTATCAAGTATGGGAGTCAGATCAGATTCCGGCACATTGGAGAAGAACTATTATTATTCCAGTCCTAAAGATAAATAAGAACCCCGAACAGTTAAATAGCTGTAGACCCATCTTGCTTAGAAGTATTCTTACGAAAACTTTGGAAAGACTTGTAGTAAACTGTTTGAAATGGTATCTTGAGGAATATAGTATTTTAGATGTAGAATAGGCTGGTTTCCGAAGGAAGTCAACGCGTGACCAGGTGACAAAATTAAGCCAATTTATTAAGGATACTTACAGGAACATTTTGACAGCTGTTTATGTTGACTTTAAGGGGGCTTATGATTCTATCTGGAGGGAAAAGCTCTACCAGAAGCTCCTCAGTATTGGTGTTTTATCAAATTATTTAATTGGATTAGGTCTTTCAGAAGCTAGATGACATGCATGGTAACGTTTGAAGATTCCTTTTCCAAATGTTTTAATTCACAAACTGGTCTTCCTGAGGAATCCATTCCATTGTTTAATATATATATCAACGCTCTAGTTTCTTCTCTTAAATCAACTCCTGGCATTAATTGTCTACTATTTGCTGGTGAATTGGTAATTTGGACCGAGACTCCAAAACAGAACGCAAAAAAACCTTATTAAACATTGTTTAAATAAGGGCCTGCAAGTGCTCTCGAGTTGGTGTGAAGAAAATAATATGACTGTAAATTTGGAAAAGACAGCTTCACAGACTTCTTCTCTAACCCATAAAATTTTTCACCCCGAGGTAAAGTACCAATATACTTTGATTACCAACACGGACAACTTTACTTATCTGGGAACGACTTTTGATAATAAATTAAGTTGGAAGCTTCATGTTGAGCAGCTTACCGAACGTGTTTCAGATAGACTTAGTATTCTTAAGCGTCTAGCAAGATGTATTTGGGGGGGTGCACTCGGTCCATTCTTAGCATTAGATTTAATTCTTATGTCCTACCTTTAATGACGTATTGTTGTGAAGCTGTTATCACTTCCCCACAATCGGTGGTTAATAAACTTGAAGTGATGCAAAACCAAGCTCTTCGCTTGATTACAGGAGCTATGAAATCCACGTATATCGTTGCGATATTATTGTTGTCAGGAAATAAAACTTTCCGGGATATTATGAAAATGAGGGCCTTGGTTCTCTTTGAAAAGCTACTGCGGATGGAGGATTCCTACAGGAGTGACTACGTAGTGAAGCCTAAAAAATTAAACACCCAAAATGAATTTATTCAAAAAGACCTGGACATGAAGAAAGATCTTGGGATTCCAGGTAATATACAATCTGTCTTGACAACCAGAAGCCCTTTGGAGGTGATTAATATCGAAGTAAGTCTAGATACAGTGGAAACCATCCATAGAAAGAGAGATGTTGCACCAAGCGTTTTGAAATGTCTCGCTTTGGAGACCATTGCGTTTAGATATCCACCTATTCAATGGCTGCCCATTTTTACTGATGGTTCTCAGTTTGACTGTCTTTTTAAGGTTGGGGCTGGTGTGTTTTCAAGTCTTTTTTCATTCTACACCTCTGCAGGTTACATTGGTACCTCCTTTGATGGTGAAGTACTAGCCATCTGTATAGACCTACAGCAATCATTACAAGTTTGCAAGGGCAGTCATTTTTTCTGATTCTCACGCGGCCATTCAATCAATCAGCTCGGTTGAACACCCATTAACACCTGAATTTTTTCAATGTCAAGACTTCCTGAGAACTCTCACTTTAAAGGGGAAACAAATCGTTCTCCAGTCAGTGACTGGCCATTGTGGCCTTTGGGGCAAGGAACAAGCGAACTTTCTTGCAAAAAGAGGTGCCAGCTTAGTACAACATCCTAATACAGCCATATCTTATTGCAGGATTAAACTGTTTTTAAAAATTTTATTTACATCTAATATCTTATGAGATCTACAGACTCGTACAGCGTCAAAAAGCTGAAGTACGACAAGTCCTTCTCTTATTCTCGATAGTACAAGACGCAGTGCAGTTGCAGCTATCCTTTTGTCTACAGGACATGATAGTCTTGCCGCTCACCATCGCCGCGTAGGCATTTCAAGCGATCCTATTTTCTCACTTTGTAATTCCGGAGAAGAATTGGACAGGGACCACTTGCTTCGATGTGGAGATCTTCGTGGTCTTACAGAAGAATCGAGATACTGGGAGGCAAGAGCGCTCCTTAGGCAATGACTCCGGTCTTTTTGTTTTTAGTTCTATTGTTGTTCTATTGTTTGTTCCTCTGTTTGTAATTTTAGTTCTTTGTAATTTTTTGCCCATCCATTGGAAATAAAAATAAAAACGCTGAGGTTTCAGGCAACTTTAGAATAACCTATATTTAAAATTTTACGAAATAATGCATTGCATTTGATATTAACTAAAGATGTTCAATTATCTTACTAGCATTTTAATAAAATTTGCTGTAAAACTCAAAGTCTGGTTTGGAATGGAATTTAGGCCGCACTCTTTGAGGGAAAATTTCCTATAGGCTTAAACTGGATGTTTTGCAGTTAATCAAGATATCTGAATGATTCGTTTTGTTTTTGGTTAATTAAATTACTGAGTGCAATTATCTCTCTTATTCGAGTGGAACTGCTTGCAGTTACGTGCAGCAATTACGAAGGGAATTCCTGCCGTTCAAAAATATTTGGTCTTCATCCTAAAGTTTTAGGCCCCCTTAATTAGTGTTAGAAGAGCTTTCCTTTCCAGGACTTCATTATTCTTAGAATCTATCTCACTATGTTGCATAATTTGTTTTCTTGAAATATTTTTTCATTCCGATAATTGCTTGTTCTGATCTCTTTTCGAGATCTACAAAAGATATTGCTTTTAAATCTATTTTATTAAATTGAGAAGAGAAAAACAAAACAATTTTTAAGTCTGATTTTTATGTAAAAACAAAATTCGTTTGCTCAAAGCATATAACTTTTATTATACTTCTATACGTCTGAGAGTGTATAGCCATGCCACTTGAATGTTAGAGTAGTTAGATATATTAAAGACAGTTAGGGTTTTTCCCATATTGTTCATCCCACTTGCTCGGATTTTGGTAATTTCTAATTGGGTTTTTCACTTCTGGGACTTCAAAGCTCTTCTGAGAGCACTGAATTACCTTAAGTTACTTAAATTTATTTTTAAACACAGCGGATGTTCATAAACCTGAAAATATGTAAAGGAATATGCTTTTTCTCTGCAGTTCTGCAAATAATGGTAAAAACGATCTGTTTCTATCGGTTATCAAAAGAGTGATTTAATAACATAATTTCAATAAAAAAAGGATTGTATAAATTCAGGATTCTATTCTTAATACACTCTCAGTTATAGGCAATTTTGGGGCCCTTTGGGCGTGTTTATCTTGCAAAATATTACTGCTACTGATGATCATTATCGATTGTGCCTAATGGATTTGTTGACTTATCGTGTGGGTTAAAAAATTCTAAAGTAGAAGTGAAATGATAAAGAGGGTACATGATACATAAATTAAACTAAAATGCTCTCAAAAAATAGAATGATGGAATTCGTGGTTTGCTCTTTAAAGTCTTTGCTTTTTAATGAGAAAATAATCTACAATATTAACGCAAATTTGTTGTTAACGGCTTGTTATTTCTTTTCTCCAGGTAATCCTGTATAAACCTGATAGTCGAAGACAAAGCTAAGATCGCCTTTTGAAGGCTGAATGAAGTTTGCGTATTATAGCTTATTATTTTGTCAACCTACGCTCTAGATAAGCTTACAAACTACGATCTAGACAATACATTCAAATAAATTCAAGGAAATGAAATCAGTACATGACAAGCACTAAAGTGAACATTTGCAAAGTGAAATAGATGGGACAGTAATATGTTACATCTGAAGTTTTTTGGGGGGATAAAATGTCAACACAAAACGCAATGGGTTTCCTAGGAAATAGGTGTTCGCCAAAATTCAACTATACATGCACTGTATGTAAACAGGAAACACGCGTATAAGGTTCAGTTAATACAAAAAATGAGATTAAAATGATACCGACAGAATTCTTCACTTTGCTTAACTACAAGGAAATCAGATTGAATCTTAAGCCTTCACGGAGAATTTATTAAGTGACAAAGATCGTTTCTTTTCAAAGAGTGAAGTTGGTAATAAAACCCATATTAAAATCTAATAATACCATATATTCTAATAATAAACTATATTAAATATATCATGGACAAAGCTCCACCAAAAAAAGTTCCCAGAATATCAATACATAAATTGAAAGTATGTAACTAAATTTTCCTGACAAATACACGCAGAATTCGAATAACGGAAACCAAAAATACTACACGAGTGGAAAAGAAAAGGAATGAGAGAGTGAAATAGTTTTTCCGGAATCTCCTTTCTCAATGAATCCCTCGTTCGTATTTCTTTTCAGAATGAATTTTTATCAAAATGCAAATCCCATTGCTAAACCAAATCAGGCCTTCTTTGAATATGATCTCGTTGAATTCTTTACGCTCTGGAGAGGCAAATATTCTGCACTGGAATATATTTGTGGGATACGTGGAATAAATCAAAATATGTGTTTATTATTATGTGATATTCCTGCTCATTCACATCATGTACATGAGCAGGAATGGCCTTTATGTGGCCTTATATGGCCTTTATGTTTGCAATCATTCGTCGATACATATACTTCCACTTGAGTTGTAGAAACTCTCTAAATATGGAAAATATTTATGTTAGTTCATTTTTAAATTTAAAATATCAATTTTGTAAAAATTAGTAAATCTAAAATCTTATGATACTCCTCGGCCCTTACAGATATTTAATATAATTTTATTATTATTCTAAAAACGTAAAAGCACAAAAAATTGGACTCATTGTTTGTAATCCAGTATTTTTTGCAATTTTACTTACAACCTTGTGCATCATATCATGTAGCAGCTTTAGCCAAATGGCATTTAATTATTATACAGCAGGATAACCATAAATTACAAATAAGGACAGCCAAGGAATTCTATAAAATTCTTAGGAACATTCCATAATACACGTTATCCTTATAAATTCAGTAAGTAGTTGAATGTAATATATAATATATGTATATATATATATATATATAATAATTTATTTCCTAAACA